AAAAAAAAAAAAAACACTCTAGAACACATTTGAGAAGAGAGAGAGAGATTTTCTCACCTTCTCCTTCAAGAACTGGCTCGTTTTCTCTGGAAAAGCTTTCTGCACAAGCTCCATATCCTCATCAGTCGACAAAATACAGTACCCGCCTTCTACACGAATGTACGGGACATCAACTTCATCAAGGTCACTGGATTCTTCAGGAAATGCACAGACAGCATCATCACCACCAGCAAAAGTTGAGCCTTTCTTCTTCCAATTAACGACAAAACACTTGTGCCCGTATCTCGTTTTAACACGCTGAATGCCGTGAAACTCGTATTGCCCGTAAAGCAAGTCGTCGTCTTTTGGGCCCGAGAACATTTTCCGGAGATATATAGTCGATAGCATCGGGATTAGTCTTTGCCTGATGTAAGATGGTTCCCAATGCTGCTGATAGGATAGGTAGTCCACTAGCATTTCTGTATTTGGGCTTAACCACACTATATTCGGCTCGTCATCTGCCACAAGAGCCCGTTTTTTTTTTCCATAAATTTACAGAAGATAAAAAATGATTAATTAGGTAATTTTACATGTAGTTGTAGGGTAATATTTCCCTAGTTTAATTTCAGAAGAAAACTTCAAAAGAATTTCGTCTCTTTTCAGTTGATTATAACCTCAGGAGTATTTTTGTAATATTATTTTGAGTAGAAAGTTGATATGATGCAGAAAATCTAGCAACTTTCACACATTAGGTTCCATCAAACCTGTTTAAAGAACACTTTTTTTCGTCAAGTGCATTCATTTCAAGCATCCTCACATGTACATGGTGTGCATGTGTGTTGCTTATTAAAGCAAAAGGGGGGATAAAGAAAAAACGATCAACGAATATAAATTCCGTACCAACTCCATTATGGCTCCTCAGATACATCTGTATTATTTCGTTACAAGGAAACTTTTGCTGTGATGCAATCTTTTGGCAGATCGTCAGTCTCCATGTCGAATCTTTCTTCTTCGCTTTTTCTATCCTGTCCTGGCATAAAAAAAACAAAATGCTAGGAATAAGAACAGATGTCCAAGTAACTATGAAATCCACATCCGGAGAAAAAATGATAATAATAATAATAATAATAATAATAATAATAATAATAATAATAATAATAATAATAATAATAATAAATCATTGAACCATAAACCGAATTAAGCTCTATATACGGAGTCACATGATGTGCAGCGGCATTTAAATCCGACTGATTTCTGCGTGCAACTCTGACCAGCAATTGAATTGCAAAATTCACAAGAAAACTCGAAGTGGGCTGTCTTTTTTCCAGGGTGGCCGCAGCAAGAACAATGGGGATTTTTCTGCTTTGGTGATTTCTCATCAGGAGAAAAGCATATATATTCACTTACAATATCACCTCTAGCTAACTCACTCAACCTGAAAAAAAAAAAAA